CCTCTGTCTCCCAATCTCTGTGGAACGATAGACTCCTAACTTCAATAACAGCCAGCCAGCAGACCCAACTGACCTAACTATATTTACATTGCCAGCTCTTTGCAAGTTTTCATTTCATGACTCTACAGAAACCCTACCATTCCCCATTCCTCACTCTCCTTTTATTTTTATTTTTTTTTTCTACACTCTACTTTTAAAATGCCCAAATTTCTTCTGCACAAATTGAAATGGAGCTCAGCTCTTTCACTTACTGTCAGTGGTTACTGGATAAAATCTGCTTCCACAGCTTTAACTAATGTCCAGCTATGTTTATCTTTGACACCTTCATATGGAAGAAATGCTCATTCATGGGCTCACCTCTACCCCCATGCACATAGTTCTGGATGGGATCCAGGAGTTCCCGGTTGTCTCTCTTCTTCCAAGGCTGCTTGTAGCACAGCCTGCTAAGGAGATGAATGAAGAAAACCTCCCACCGCATAGCTAAATTTTCTTTTTCAATCTATTTACATTTCAATAGTTAGATCTATGTTTGGGCACATGAGCATGTACCTGTGACAAGACAGGTGGCTTTCCATTTTAACATGACTTTGTTTGATCTGTTTGTTGTCCCAAATCTAGCCAGACAGAATGAGGGGAGAGGGAGAGGTGAGTTGGAAACATGGGGCAAGCCTGGGAGAGATGCCCCTAGTCCTCTAGAGAGACTCTATGGCACTTGAGGAGAATGGAAAAACTATGGCTAAGAAGTGTAAAAGATGGAAATGTAAAAGGATATAGAAGGTGGCTTAATTGCTTTTCCCCCCCTTTTTCACATTTTTGCCTTTGGCTCAGTCCTGCTCTCTACCTTCCTTCCAAAAGCTTAAAGTAAAATGTCTCTGTACTGTACTTTCCTTACCCACCTCACAGCCAAATTAAAAAAAAAAAAGCTATTTATTATTTTACTTCTCTTCCAATTATTCTGGCCTTGCAAAAATGTAAATCAAAGGATGAGAACAAGAAATTAGTCACTTGGTATCTTTGGGCCTTAGTTGAACCATGAGAGTTTTGGATTGAATTCATAATTCAACAAAAACTATCTATTCGATATGGAATCATTATATTGCCCTTAAGGAGCTTACATTCTAGGAAAGAGTTATTCAATGAACAAATAAATTAAAGAATAACATAGTTATGGTAGAACAATATAAAGATCAGTATTTGATATGGTTACCAGGCAAGGCTTCAATGGGAAGGTGACAGTCTCTGTTCCAAGTGTTTTACTTACATTTATACATTTAATTTTATCTATTATTATTATTATTATTATTATTATTATTATTATTATTTATTTTACAGAAGCACAACTTAGTTAAGTAATTTAAGCATATCATATTACTATGCTCTAAAATTTGAACATGAACCTGGCAGTTTTGTTCCAAGTTCTTTACCTTTTACCATGAGTCTGTATTTATTATTATTTCTATTTATAAGGATTACTTTGAGGCATGAGGAAAGACTTAAACTCTGGAGGAAAGAATTTAAGCAGGGATACTGGGGAGGGTAGAGAGGATAGTGACTGGACTATGGGGGAATATGGTGGAGGAGAGAAATAGGGTCAGATTTTGAATGTAGAGGAAACAGAAGACTTGCTGATGGATTGTATTCAATATATGAGCAAGAGAGGACTTAATGATGAATCCAACATTTAGGCTTGAGGAACAGGGAAAAAGATGGTGTTTGTTAAAAAGTTGGGGAAAACTGGGGGAGGAGGTGGTTGGTGAGGGGTAGAAATAAAGATTTTGTTTTGAAAATGTAAACTTTGAAATATATATGAAACATCTAAGAAGAGATATAAAGGAGGCAACCGTCTGGAGTTTGGACTGTAGCCTTAAGTTTGTAGGTCGTTATCATGTGGATATTTATGAAAGCTATGTTTCTGGATGAGATTCCCCAGGAAGGGAATGTGAACATGACAAGGAATGAGCGATGGGACATCGTAACCCTGAGAGATTAGGAAGAGGGGAAAAAAAATCAACAAAATCGGAGCTGAAGATTAAATAGATGACAAACAAGGAGTCAAAGGAGGAAGTTTGAAGGGGAAATTCATCAACTGTCTTATGCAGCTGATAAGACAAGATAGTGACCAAGAATTGATCATTAAATTTGGCAAAATAGAAGAAATACGATGCCTTGAATATGGAGTGTTAGGGACAAAGGTCTGATCTGACTGATTCAAGAGACTAGCACAGCGGTGGGCAAACCCTGTCTCACGAGCCACATAAGGTTCTTTGGCCCCTTGAGTGTGGCTCTTCCACAAAATACCACGTGTGGGCGCTCATGTACAGTGCCATTGAAACTTCATGGCCCATGTGAAGTCCATTTCCGGTCTGGGTGAGTCTATTTTGAAGAAGTGGCATTAGAACACTCAAGGAGCCAAAGAGCCGCATGTGGCTCTTGAGCCACAGTTCGCCGACCACTGGACTAGCAAAATTCTGAAGCTTCCTTTATAGCTATGGCTAAATGATGAAAAATAACCTGGAAAATAATGTGGAGGATAGTAACATAGGGCAAAAGAGAATAATAATGCTTTTCCAAATACTTCAAACAACTTCAAAATACTTTATTGGACATCTTCTACACATCCAACACTGTTAGGTGAGTTTTAAAATATTTTTCTTATTTGTTACTTTAACATTTTGACATTGAGCAAATTTTAAAGAGAAAAAAAAGTATGTCTATATTCCCATAATCCTAATACATTAAGTCCAATTACTGTCCATATGTTTCCATAATGTTATATGGTCTTATTAATTATATAAGCAGTTTCCTTTGTAGATATGATTTCATAATGGGTTGATTATGACAGAAAATACTTTATTGTGTGAGTACAGAGCATTGGTTATTTAATTATTTTTATTCCCAACTGTTTATGTTGTTTCCAAATTATAATTTATAATACAATGATTATTTGTATGTATGCTTTTCTTTTTTTTAAGTATTTTTATTGATATTTACAGAGAGGAAGGGAGAGGGATAGACAGTTAGAAACATCTATGAGAGAGAAACATCGATCAGCTGCCTCCTGCACAACCCCTACTAGGGATATGCCCGCAACCAAGGTACATGCTCTTGACTGGAATTGAACCTGGGACCCTTCAGTCCCCAGCCGATGCTCTATCCATTGAGCCAAACCGGTTTTGGCTATATGTATGTTTTTTATCCTTATTAAGCTATGAGTAGTCCCTGGGAGTCCAGGACCACACCTATTTCAGTTCTGAATCACCAGCATGTACCTGGGACAGAGTGCCTTTAAACACACACACACACACACACACACACACACACACACACATATATATATATATAAATTGATTGGGATGACATTGGTCAACATGAACATACAGGTTTCTGGCGTAGGTTTCTATGTTACAAGATCTGTATATTGCACTGTGTGCCCACCACCCAGCGTCAAATATTCTCCTATCACCATAAATTAGAATCTCCTTTCCCCTGCCTCACCCCTTCCCTCTCAGAATGAAGCACAGGATATTTTGTAGAGAAGTGCTGAAAAGTAAAAGGACTTATAGCCTCAGTTCTCATTTTGCATTTTCCACTTGCAAACTGTGGCCTTGGGCAAAAATACAAGAGGGAAAAAAAATCATTGCCACGAATTCATTTAATGAATGAAATACTAAATCAAAGAACAGTTTTATTTTTGCTTTACAAAGGTAATTTTTAAAATTCTTTTTGATATTTTGTTTTGGGTTCAGTAACAATGTTGTGACAAGTATTATGTACAAGGTACCCAGAGACAAATAATTTACTGGGATTGATTTTCATAAGTGATATACATAAAATAAAATAACACACATATTTGTACAGCTTTGATTATACTGATATTTGCCCTGGGGAGTTGGGGTCAGTGCCTGACTTTTGCATTGCTATCCATTATCAGCAGGTACATAGAGACTGCCACCTGCTAGTTCCCAGATTGTTTATTTTTTCTCCCTTTTCATGTTTTTTTTTTCCTCCTCCTAATTACTTTCTCTGGATCTATTTTTTATACATAAATTAATAAGGTTCAATTAGGTAACTCTAAGAGCAAAAGAAAAATCCAGGAGGTGGTGGTGAGCAAGGCATGTGTGAAGAGACAAGTCACCTTGGTAGATTGCCTTTGTTAGGGATTTCAGAAATGAGGACATGTGGGCCTTGCCAGTCAGGACTAGCATCAGAAAACAACCACAGGTTCCTGAATAAAGGAGTTAACTTACTGAAACCCGTTATAAAGCTTCTCAGGATGATTATACAGAATAGAGTGGGAGAGGGCACCTGAGGACTCTTGTAGAAACCTGGACAAATGAGAATGAATAAAAGAGAAATAATTCTTTTGAGATTAATTCCTTCCACAACAATTATTTTGTTCATTCATTCATTCATTCATTCAGTATATGAACAAAATAATTGTTGCGGGAGGAATATATATATACACACACAGAGTGCCCTCTTTGCGCCAGGCACTGTGCTAAGCACTGGGTAAAAATCACTGGAAAATACAGATTCAGTCCTGATGTCCTGACCAGTTAGTTGTTTGTTCCCAGGACTGTCACTTGCAGCAGAGTAAGTGCTCAGGACCACCGAGGTTGACTCTGTGACTTCCCGTGGAGCTCTGTGCTTGCCCCATGGCAGGCGCTCACGTTCTGTAGCCTACCCACAGCCTCGGTGCAGCATCACTACATGCAGGGAGCCTGGAAGCAAAGGCCAGGTGGCAGCTATCTCACCGGTGAGACCACAGTCTCGCAGTGAGCGCGTGTGTGCATCTAAGTGCAGGGGTGGGCACATCTTCCCAGAGCGCCTGGCACAGCACCAAACTGCAGGACCAACCTTCTCCTTCCCTTGCACGCTCAAGCCAGCCCCGGTGATGGCAGGGCGCCAGAGGGAACGAGGCCGAGCTCAGCCTCGCTTCCGCCCGCGGACCCGCCCCGCGCGGCTCCTCCTCGCTGACGCCCCGCGGCCGCGGCGGCTCCGGGAAGCCCAGAGCGCGGGCGGCTGGCGAACCCAGGCGGCGGGTGGAGCCAGAGCCGCCCGCAGCGGCCAATCGTGCCGCGGCGAGGGAGGAGCCCCAAAGGGGGAAAAAAGAAAGTGCGGCGGAAAGTAAGAGGCTCATTGGGGGACGGCTGTCCGGGTCCGGGTCCCTGGGGCTTTGGCCGGAGGACGCACGGAAAGCAGCGGCGCTGGGCGACTCTGCATCCCTCCCTGGTGCTCGCGCTGCGCCCGCTGTTTCTGCCAAGGGAGGTGAGTGTCGCGCTGTCCGCGGGGGCTCGGAAGAATCACCGAGCCACATCATCTCCGGGTAGAAGGATTCTTAGAAACCGTCTTGTCCAACCCTCTTTTTTTTTTTTTTTTTTTCTTCCCCAGAGGGCAAACTGAGGCACAGGGCAGGGCAGCAGCAGGGGTAGACCATCCAGCTAGTTAGTGAGTGCTGTGGTCAGGACGCCAAGCCAACTGTCCAGAGCCCCATCTGTGCTTTGATGGGATTTAAGTCACGCAGTTGTGGGGTTCGGCACCCCACTTCCAGCCCTTTGAGGCATCTTCCCGGGTCTACCCGGCCTTGGTTTGTCCGGTTTCTCTCCGGAGCGCTGCAGCTGTGAGCGGTTAGGACAGGAGACAGCTGTGTGTCCTCGCCTCCCTAGCATCGCTCCCAGCCTGGAGCCGCGACAGCCCGTGTGAAGGCTCCTGGCAGCCTCTCTCCCTCCTCCCCTGACCTGCTTTCTCACAAAGATGCCCCTTCCCAGGGTGTCTGTCAGGCTGCTGGTGGAGTAGGTGAAGAGGTGAGGACGCCTGGGCACTGGTAACTTCTTCCCATGGTCCTCATTTTTTTCTTCCCAGCCCTGGGAGGAAGCTGAGCTTGGGGTGTTGGGGGGCGGGGGGGGGGGGGGGAGGAATCGGATGCCCGTTAGCTGAAGAACAGCTGGCTATATGGAGCCAGAGCCCCTCTCACTTCTGAGTCCTGGGAGGGGGAGCAAGGAAGCTGAGCTCAAGGGAAACATCGCAAACCTAAAAAGCAAACTTCTGCCATTCTACCGTGGCTGTGAAATTGTGAACCACAGCGCCTCTCAGAGCCTTTGCCGCTGGGCTCCGTAGACCCTTGGGTTAGTGGCCCTGGCGGAGGACTGTTGCCTCGTTTTGATTCCAGCTCTGCCGCGCATTAGCTGTGTGAACTTGGGCAAGTTATCCAATCTTTCTGATACTGAAGTTTTTTGTTTTTGGTTTTGTTGTTGTTTTCCCCCCAGTCGTAAGATGAAGATTATAATTGTCATCATGAGCCCTTAGGGTAGTTAGGAGGATGGCATGGGTTCATTCAAATAACTTGGTTAGCTCAGTGCCTGGCCTGGGCACCTGGTCAGGTTGAGATTGATGGCAGCTGTTGTAAATATTGTTATAGAGAGTAACGCTGAAGACAGTGGGTTTTCAGAAAGGGGATTTAATGCTACCTTAGAGTGACTTTAAAAAACAAACAAAACTGGAATGTTGTGTGTGTGTTTTTCCTTTGGAGTTTGAACAGTGAGTGCTCTCTGAATGCTCTCTACATGTTACTTTGATCGTGAGTGCTTGACTCAGAATATAAATGTTTTCAGAGATGCCAGTCTCTACTAGTTTTGAGGCCGTCCCTTGGGTTGGTGAAGCTCTGATCTGGGGGATTCTTTATTGGCAAACAGAGTCTTGAATTTGGTGAGAGATAGGAAGACAAGAGAAGTTGAAAGTCCCATTCGTGCGACAGACTCATGTAATCCTTTTGTTCCTCTTAGGTCAAACAAGCAACTTTATATTTTTTGTTAGTATTGGAAAACAAAATTATCATGTATGTCTCTTGGATTATTTAGTGATGCTGCTAAATTCTGTCCCTTTGGGACACAAACTCACCTTATTTAAATATACCCAAACATGCCTTCACTAGTCTTCTTTTTTAAAATTTATTTTTATTATTATATTTTAAAATGAAACAGTGTTCCACCTATATCCTTACCTGCTGATGACAATGGCTTTTATACCGACTGACTTCATGCAGTGATTGACTTCCCTCTCGGCTATGGCATAAGTGCCTGAATTGAGCATCCAGCATTTAGAGTTGGCTGCTTCACAGTCCCTTGCATTTGCATGTGGCATTGATGAGTGCATGGGGGGGGGGGGTACGATCCATACAGAGGGAAGGCAAGAGCTTGGCAGTGCCCCTTTATAGGTACCTCCTGCACCAAGCATTGGCAGAGGTGGGATCGCTTGCTTCCGGCAGCCTGTTCCGTGTGCACGCATTGTGATGAGCTGGCCAGGATACATCTGAACGCGTGCCTGCGAGACCAGGGACTTGTGTGGAGGAAGGGAAAAATTCAAAGTAAGGTCAGAACAAGGGGATGGAAAGCAGGCTGAAAGCTAACTCCTTTTGGTTCTGGTTCTTTAAAATAAAGATACCCAGTTATAGCTTTCTTTCTTATCCATATTATTTGTTACCTAAATCATCATATATATAACATTTTCACAGTGTGCTCCCTATATATTACCTTTCTTGTTACTTGCAATAGCCCTGAGAGAAGGAAGGACATGGCAGGAATATTAATAGTGGAAGGAGCTTAGGTTTTGTGGTCATATCAAACTTCAGTTCTAATTTCTATGCAGGTATGTAATTCTGAGCAATTTATTTCACCATTTAGTGTCTGCTTTATCCAGCCCCAAAATGGGAGGAGGACATAAGCTGACCCCCAAAAGGATTTGTGTAAGGATTAAATTAAGTGGAATGATGTAAAGCACATGGGATGAGTAGGTGCTCATTAAATGATGTCCCTTCTTCGCTGGTCTCAATTTGTTGAGAAGGGAACGGAAATGAGATTCAGAGAAATGAGAGGTTGCCCAGGGTCACATGGTTATTAAGCTTTAGCTCGGAAAATATGGTTTACACATTTTGATTTCTAGTTAAAGGCTTTTCTTGTCACACCCTGTCGCCTCTTCAGTGAGATATTTAGCAATTTACTTCAGTTGTTAGGTGAACCTTATTTGGCTGGCGATTGCATGGTATCCTTTCTGTCTCAAAGAGGATATTTCCTTGCTAAGGGAATAATCCTTAAACATGCTCTGTTGAGTTTATCAGGGCCAGCTCTCAAGAGAGGAAGTTCCAAAGCCATGATCCCTAAGGCAGCTTCCTACTCTCTTGTGTTTGATGTAAAGCACCTTCAGTTCCTAGGAGGTATGGTACTATGACAACATAAAGTTCAGAATTACATCACACTTTTCTTCCTGTTTTGAGTTGTTTCATCCCTATGTCTTCATTGTGCTAATTCGAAGGGTGGTAAGAGGCTTGAGGAACAGATGTCATGAGTGACTGTAGCACTCTTAGCTTTTTTTTCACTCCTTTCCCCAATTCTGTGGGTGAAGTTAGAATATAGAGAGTGGCAAACAGAAGCAGCTTTTGCAGAAAACACCACTGCTTGCTGGTGGCGCTGATCACTGGTCTGGAGTTTCGGTCCTCTCCTTGGAAACGGATGGCTGCAGGCTTATGTAGGAAAATGAACAGATCTGTTTCCCCTCCAGGCAATGGGGCCATCTATCCATTGAGGCTCCCTACAGGCCATTGGGTTTCTCTGCTTTGCAGCAAGCAGACAAGCTTGCAAATGCATTTCTGTGAGAAATGCTTTGCTCCTCGCTTTTGGCATTTGGGAGCATGTTTGCTTTTGCTTAAAGGTAGGCAGTTAGCATCATCTTACCTGGCACAGTTAAAAGCAGAATGTGGCTGAAGGAAGCCAGCAGAGGATGCAGAAATAAAACAAAAACAACAACAACAACACAGTTTGTCTTCAGCATAACACACAGTTCCATTTGTTGCTCAACTTTCTGAGGCTTTTGCTGGTGACACAGATGTAGGATCTGGTGAGTCACTGTCGCCTTGCCTGTGAAATATGAAAGAGAGCCACCTACTGTGCTCTTTGCCCATTTTGGAAGTTCTTCTGTGGGAGAAATAAAAACCCCAAAGAACAGGAAGGCTACAGAACATTTGGTATCTGATATTTTGGGGGATTAATTCAGGTTAGCTACTGTTGCTAAGTTCTTTTTTTCTTCTTCTTCTTCTTCTCTTTTGAAAATGCAAATGGATGGTTTACACTGATGGGGTTGTTAGGAGACCATCTTCTGGCCTGGCTATTCTGACCAGCTAGAGCAGCTGGAGCAGGGTAGAGTCCTGGAGTCTGGCAGGTACCTCCGAGGCAAGTTATTGTATTGAGAGGAACCTCAGCTTCCTAGCTAGGAAACAGGAACACACTTAGAAGCTTCATTTCCGATGTCAGCACCTCATTCAAAGGAACCATTTAGTAAACACAAATGTTTTTCTTCTGACATCAGCTCCTTTAATGTATTAGTCTGTTAAATTGTGTCAATCAACTTTTAATAGCTACCCTTTACTGAACTCCAGCATGGTTTGTACTAAGTGATATATATATATATATATATATATATATATATATATATATATATAGTCTCATTCATTCTTTGCAATAATCCTATGTGTTTTCTGAGACAGCTGAGGGCCAGCTGTCACTCATCCATGCACTTCAGTTTAGAGCTGGGAAAGACCTAAAATTGTATTATAGCCTTTGACCTAGAATTGAGGACTTGGATGAGGACTGAATACCACCTGTCACCCCATCACCCCCTGCCCCATCCCCACATCCCCATTCTGACATTCTGATCCTCCTATTGTCTTACCTGAGACTGCGAAGTAATTCTCTTTACCTTTGGGCCTAAAATGTGAGGGAGCTGGGTTAGATTATCTCTAGGGGTCTTCTAGTCCGATAAGCTATTTTTCTTTAAGAGTCCTTCCAATTCAAATTCTATCATTGTTTCTCTTTGTAAAAGTCAAGGCTAAAAGGGGAAAGAAGAACAAAAGGAGAATGTCCTCATTGTTTTATCTCAAGAGAGCTATTTTCCAGTGAAAAAGAAGAGGGCAAGGCAAATAACATTCATTGGTGCATGCACTTCTGTCACTTCATTTAAACATATAAATGACTCTCAGGCATGTGGCCTGCGTTTTACAGATGAAAGAACTGAAGCTCAGACAGGTTTGCAGACTTCCCCAAGCTTATCCAATTAGTAAGAATTAGGACCAGTGTGTGCGTGAGCACAAAGCCTTTTGGTCTATTAGACCACTGGTCAGCAAACTCATTAGTCAACAGAGCCAAATATCAACAGTACAATGATTGAAATTTCTTTTGAGAGTCAACTTAAACCCACTATAAACTTCTTCTAACACCACT